TATGTTAGTACAATACTAACATATATATTATTATGAATTTGGGAATTATACAGATTATGATTGATTTGCGATTGAAGCAAGTCAAGTGGATTTATTGTGGACAATAGTGAGGCACAAATATTTGGGAAAATTATAAAGTGTCAAGGTGAGTGCAATACATGCATGAAATTATACATGGATATTTTATACATCATCATGAAGACTTACGATAAGTCAACCTTGTTTATAACAACATGATATTATGTCATTTATCATATATTTGACATATTCTAAATATGTCAAAGGTTGAATATAAAATGCATTGATCACTGATTTTTGCATATGATGTTATCATGAACATATATGATTTTTATCATAAATGATATTGCGGGTATGAATTTCCCAATGTTAAATGGATTAATATACTTTGCCATGGATGAATCAAATAAAATTGACTATATGCCCAAGTATGTTATTGAGGTTCAGTGGTATTAATGGCATGCCATAGAGTCTAGCAGTTGCATATTAGGTAGCACTAGAGTGTCTAGAGAAGGCACATAGTGCAGGCCTTAGTGTTTAGTGAAGACACAATACAAACACTACGGTGTACTAGGTGGGTAAATCCCGACCTCAGCACTACGGTGCATTATTAGGTGAGAAAAGCTTGACCTCAGCACTTCAGTGCAATATTTGACTCTTATACCGGGTTCCTCATACAATTATACTATGGGTTATGATTTATGGTTTATTGGTTAATAAATAATAAACTGGAAAAATAAGCTTACGAGCTTATGGAATAATGGCAAGTATATTGGTAAAATAAGCTTACGAGCTTATGGGATTAAATGGTAAGTATTTTGGTAAAATAAGCTTACGAGCTTATGGGATAAAGGGTAAGAGATTTTATCTTATTTTGATCATGGAAAAATATTGGATATGCTAGTAACATGATAAAATGACATTTTGATTTTTACATTGAAAATCATGCATGAATTGTATTGCACTGATTATTGTTTTAAATTGTCTCACTAAGTTTATACTTAGCGTGTGATGATTTTCACGCGTAGGTAAAAAGCAAGTAGTGAAATAAAGAGTTCAAAGTGACATTATCGAAGGTATATTTCAATATCAGTGAGACATCCTATGATGGAATTTGATTTAGATAGTGGCATGTAATTAATAATGTTCAATTTGTTTTGTTGAATAAATTTGGAAACAAAATGGTAAATTTTATAGTGATGAGAGGTTAAGTTTTTATGAGATTTATATGTATTTTTCGGAAATTACTGTAGTAGTTACTGTAGCAGTGCATCGATACACAATTATAATTCGATGTTTTTGTGCATCGGTACACTGTTCATGTACTGTAGCAGTGCATCGGTATACTATTCACTGTTCACGGGTATTGTTCACTGTTACTATTCACTATTCACTATTCATAAAAAAAATATTTTGTTTTAAATTTGTTTTAATGAAACACAATTCATACGATATGATATTTATATAATATCATTTACCATTTTAAGTAAATAAATTTTAAATCGCTTTTGAATTGTAAAATGGTTTTAGAAATTCGGGTGACATCTATAATCTGTATAGGTATAATTATACGGGTTATGGGTGTTACACACCTCCCTTGCTACCATTTTTTAGGACCACCTGCTAGCCAACCGCCCATTCATGTGAAAATGGTGACACCTATGGTACAAAAGCAATTTAGGGCCCAAAACCCTAGAAAAATTCCCCTCTATAAATACAAAAGGTACCCTACATTTTAAGGATCTTTGGGAGGTGATCTAAGAGAGAAAGACGACTGGAACCAACCTTAATTTCCTTCCTCCTTCAACCCCTTTTTTATGGTTTCCTCCATAGTCGAGCTTCAAAGGGGTAACAGCTAGGATCTTGAGAGAGGCTAGCTTGCTAAGGTGGTGCATGGCGGTGGAGCTAAGTGTCACGACACAACTCATTGGGAGTATTCTTCTCCTTGTGTTTCTATTTTCTTATCTTATTTGGGCTTGTACTTAACTCAAATGATCATGGATGAACTTAGCCATGCCATGAACTAAATTATTTGATGTTGGATTTATTTTGGTTGATTTTATTTTGTGTTAATGAATAGTTAGATGTTTTTATGTTTAACTGTTGTTTTGCCCATTTCTTTTAATTTATATGCTTAGCATTGTAAGATCTTTTGAGAGATTTTCGTTTGCTATAACATAGATGTATAGTATCGAGAGAGCTAGGCTAGATCTACATGAGCAAATGAGCCAAAAACAGGATGGTGAGGTTCTAATCTGCCTTGGAGATAAAGATAGGGTTTTAAACAACTAAAAGGGATAAGACTTACTCGATAGGCTAGTGTTGCAGTTCACACTGAGAGGTATTGTTGTAGCACTAGTTTTATCAAATTCCTTGCTAGAGATAGTTTAGGAGCATTTTCAGCAAATCCTATCAGGCAATATACTCATAGGAGAAAAGACCATTCTAGACACTGAATATTTATTGTCATAGCAAATCCATCCAATTACCCCTTGAGAAGCTTGATTGTGTGAGGTTTTCAGTCTTATCTCATTTTCCAGAGTTCAATTTACTTTTGCTTCAGAATACTTTTGCAAGTTACATAAACTTTTCTTCAGCTCACTTTTACAATTTTGTCAAACTTTCGCCACAGCAATTTCACTCCACTACTTTCCACAACAATTCAATACACATTATACATATCGTCTGCCACAACATTTAATTCACTTGTTTATATCATTATACATACATACTTAGATTTAGTTAGTGACACCTTTTTGCTACAACTTGCTTAAAAATTCTCTCCAATCTCTGTGGAGACGATACTCACTCACTACTATTTTACTTGCATCGATTGTGTATACTTGTACAAAATTACGTGTCATAGCACATACATCACACATATGATCAGAGTTTAAGATACTACCCATCCTTTACTGGTTTATTCAAGAAAGAAGGCACCAATACAAGTCAATCATCCTTTTCTCCTATACAAACCTAGGTAATTGCTTAACATATTTCTAATCAAAACAATGAAACTGAAAATTCATATCAAAGTGATTATGATTTTTCCATTGCAAATAGAAAATGAACTAGAGCATGCACAAAACACCCTTTGGGCCTATTCATGTCATACAAAAACTTATCTCACAACCACAAAACCTTTCTTACTAGCCTAAACTCCATCTCCATTCCCAAAACCGAATCCGATGCATTATAAGACGAGAATTGGAAGAATACAATGTAGGTTGAAATGAAAGCACTCGAGAAGACCAAGACATGAGACTTGGTAAAATTACGGAGAGGGAAGAAATCATTGGGATGTAGATGGGTGTTTACAGTGAAATACAAGTCATATGGCTCATTAGAGAGGTACAAAACAAGATTATTTGCTAAAGGATATTTTCAAACATATGGAATCGACTACCTGGAGACATTTGCTCCTGTTGCGAAAATGAACACCGTAATAGTATTGTTGTCATTGGCTTTCATTCGAGGCTGAAAATTATAATTGTTTGACATTTAAAATATGTTTTTGCATGGTGACCTTAAGGAGGAAGTTTATATGGATGTCCCACCAGGATTCGCTTCAAATATAGGGTAGGCGGTATGCAGGTTAAAAAAGGCACTATATGGACTAAAATAGTCTCCAAGAGCCTGGTTTAGAAGGTTCACCAAGGTAATGCTCAAGCTGGGATATAAACAGAGCCAAGGCGATCACACTTTGTTTGTGAAACACTCATCTTCAGGGGAAGTGATTGCTTTATTAGTCTATATAGACGACATTATAATCACAGGGGATTATTTGGAATGAATGAAGAATCTAAAGAAGTGCTTAGTAAAGGAATTTGAAGTCAAAGAGCTTGGTAGACTAAAGTATTTTCTTGGTATTTAAGTGGCACATTCTCAAGAAGGGATCTTTATATCTTAGCAAAATTATGTAATAGATTTGTTGACAGAGGTGGGCAAGTTGGGATGCAAACCAACAGAGATGCCTATAGAAGTTAATCACAGACTTGGAGATGCACTAGAAGATGAAGCAGTTGACAAAGGCTCTTATCAGATACCAGATACTTGTGCGAAAGCTTATCTACTTGTCACATACTAAACCTGATATTGCTTATGCAGTTGATGTTGTAAGACAATTCATGCACAACCCCAAAGAATCACATATTAGGGCTGTGAATCAGATCCTACAATACCTAAAGGGCACACCAGGCAGAGGAATTTTATTCAAGAAAGGGGAGAAGCTAAATCTTGAAGTTTATACTGATGCAAATTATGTAGGGTTTGTAGTTGATAGAAGATCAACCTCAGGTTATTGCACTTTCTTAGGAGGTAACCTTATGACTTGGAGGAACAAAAAAATAGAATGTTGTGGCTAGATCCAGGACAGAAACTGAATTTTGGGCTATGACACTTGGGATTTGTGAGTTGTTATGGCTGAAAATTATTTTGGAGGATTTGAAAGTCAAGTGGTAAGATCCAATGAAACTATATTGTGATAATAAATCTACATCAATATTGCACATAATCCGGTCCAACATGACAGAACGAAGCACATTGAAGTTGACACGCATTTTATAAAAGAGAAACTTGACAGTGGCCTGATTTGTAGTCCTTCTGTACCATTGGTGATCAACTCATAGATATACTTACCAAGGGATTACATGGGAAGTATTTTCAGAAACTAGCAAGTAAGCTAAGAATTGATGATATCCACTTCCCAGCTTGAAGTGGAGTGTCAAAAATTAGTTTCCTAACTAAGGAAGATTGTGTGTAATTATTTAGGAGATACTGCAAATATCTCAGTATTTATAATCCCTAAGGCCATAGTTTTGGGTCAACATCCCTATAATTAGTTAGTTTCCTAATCTAGAGTTTCCTAAGTTTGGTCTACTATTTGTGTGTATATATATATCAGTGTAACTTCTTATGAATTAATCAATTGAATTAAAAATCATTTTTTTATCAGACATCAAGAAGAAGAAAAAAACAAGAACCTGAAGCACGGAATTTGCTTCTCTCAGGGCAGCTGCCTCTTTCTCTGCATTTCTGCGAGCAACTTCGAGTACCTTTTGTTCCTGCTCCAGGTGCACCAAAACCTGTGGCACATAGAATCTAAAAATCACTTGAGGACTCGAAATAGTTCATGAAAAATGCATTTTCAATGCATCCTAGAAGAAGAAAAATTATACCTTAACCACTGCAGCTTCCTGCTCTTTCTTAACAGCAAGAGCTTGGTGTAGATCAGCCACCTCTTGCACTAACTGTTCAATCTGCAGCATTATCAATAAACCTCAAATCCTGCAAGCAACTTGAGTAAAGCTCACAGAACAATCAAGTATCTCCAGTGAACAAGTTACAAGCTTGGAAGGTCTAGCATATTCATATAAATAAATTTACATATAACTTTGCATTCAATTCTTGTCGATTATCTTCTTTGGCCAGCTCCGTAAGTGCTATCTCAAGCTCCTCAGCTCTGGAAAAGAACAGAGCCCGCAGTTATGCATAAATGATAGGTTATAGAAGTTCACAGAGGTATCAGAAATATTACATGCAAAGAAAACATGAACATGGTCATATGGGATTCATTCCTAATTTTGAAACAGATTGCTAATTCTAATTCCTCGAGAGCACTTTCTTCAATGGCTATCTTGAGTAAAGTAACTCCCCGAAATGATGAGATGATTGCCAGATATGACGCTTTATTTCATATATATGATGACAAAAAGCAATGTATCAGATGAAAAGACTCGACAATTCAAGACGGCTAAATGCCATGCTTCTCTAAAAGGAGAAAGCTGAGTTACTAGATACAGCCATCCATGCACCTTAATGAGAAAGTTCATAATTGATATGAGTTAGCTGGTCAATAAATTGCATGGCGGAAACTGGTCAATAAATTGCATGCGGAAACTGCATTACTTGACCTAGACTCAGTTACTATATTGCCATCATCGTAAAAAGCAGAGCCACATGGCACTTCAAAATAGAATATTCGAGAAAAAGATCATCAACTGTATAATATACTAACCGGAGTACAGCAGCTCTTTTTTCCTCAAGCAACGTACACAACTCAATCTTCATCCTATCAACCTGCTCATAAACTGTTAATGATTGAAATCTCAAAGGAGTTGAATGGTGATGATTCATATCCATCCAATTAATTACAAGTGAAACACTGTTGGAAAATCAAGGATAACCTCAGTGAGCATGAATATAATTACAGCTTAGTCATGTTTATTAGGTTAGAAATGCATTACTGATGAGATTGGTTAAAATAGCAGAATACTGTTAAGCCTTTATTAAGTAATATGACTAAGCCACTGGACATTCGCCAATCATACCATCACTCAAGTTCATGCACTGTAGTTAAAGGTCTTTCACCAATGTTCTTATATTGCAATATCCAACAGCATAGATGTTTTGTGGTTTGTCCAAATGTTGACAAAGAACTAAATCAAAATTCTTCTACCCAGGTTATTCAAGATTATGTTGTAGTTTTCTATATTCACATCTCTGGAGGTCTGCAACTCAAACTAAATTTTTGGCAAGCAAACATCAAATACTCATGGGACTTACTAAATCAATACAATATTCAGCACATACAATCAGTGGTACATGGTCATGAAATATAAAACGGGTATCATTGGTGAATAGTTCCTACAATATTAGAAATGCAGCACACAAGTGCTAAGAAGGAAAACACAGAAAAGCACCTGATCCTGAAGAGATGGAAAGGTCCCAACTTCTAAATCTGAATTTAGGCTACAGAGCAATTCATCCAGACCAGAGAAACGGGGCTCCAACTTAAACATGTTTCTGTCATCGTCAGCAGGATCTGTTTCATCCTGTCCACGATTTTGCTTAAAACTATACAGCTTAGAAGCAATTCGTTTTGAATCTTCTGAAACTTGAGATCCTTTAGCTCTTTCTCCGACAATCATTAGCACGGTTTGTCTATGCTTTTCTCTCAATTTATTTAATTTATCATCAGTCACAGCTAAGAACCCCATGCAGGCTGTCAAAACAAGTTGGCTGCTGTCAAACGTTGAGCCTGCAAGGGATTGCAGCAAAGTGATAGCATCCGCAGCATCCTTAGTTGTAACTATGGCAGGAGCTGCAGTAAACTTCATGTAACTAGACTGCTTTTGAATTCATCATCCACATTTAATGCTTCACGTATTTTATAAATACTAAATCTGAATACCATGTAGCTCCATTAAAGCAAGGGCCGTTCGAAATAGCATAACACGACTTCCTTCAAATAGAATCACATCCCAAATTCGAAGAACTGGAGACCAAGAAATCCATCACAAGGTAAACATGATGTCTAATAAAAAAACGTTGACTAGTAGGAACCAAGCATTTTGACTGAAGTTTTTATTTTTTTTTTCTTTTGTGGGGGTGGGGATTTAATTTCTAGCACTACATTTAAATCTTACCGCTTTCCCAAGGAAGTATATTTACGAAAATTGAAAGAAACCATGGTGTAGAAATCCATTCCACCTGCACTCCCAAGTAATCCAGATGATTGACTGCAGCATTAAGAGACATGAAATAGAAAATCACCCATATTGTTTCACATGAGGAATGAGAAGATAATAGATAGAGGAAAGTTGAAAAGTAAACAAACCCAATCTAGGAAATCTTTCACGCATCAACTCTTCAAATACAAGTTGATCAACCTAAGAAAATAAAAATATTTAGAATTGAAAGAAACTGCAATACTGAAAGATGGCATCCATTTAGAAATACTGCAATATCAGCATGTTTGTGAACGTGTATATAGACTCAAAACTTCTAAGAAACTAGAGAATTTTAAGGAACACGATGTATCATAAAAGAATGTAACAGATTAAAAACCTGGGATTCTATCATTTCCTCTGTATAGTACCCATCAAAGTAGTCATCAATAATGCCCACCAAGGTCCTACAAATACATTGAAAGAAATCAATCTTTAAAGCTGACCGAGGTATTCTTGAATAATGAGCATGCATGTGCCCATAAGCCATTGTATAGTAATTAGCAGAAGAGAATTAGATAGCAAATCATTCCAAGGTAGAACGCAGAAAATATACTCTAGATAGAAACCAATATTTTATGAAAAGTTACCTGAACCTACCAAAAGGCATTTTCCTCGGGCATAAGAAGAAGCAATAATCCAGCAAAGAAATTCATTGCCTGCATGTGTTTAATATGAATAAGGGTAACTAATATAAAATAATTAATCATACCATGCTATGTAACCCCATTTGATATTTGTAGGTTATGCAATAGATAAGTTAGTATTTTAATATAACACTAACTCTTAGAAAGTTAGATAGATAAGGATAACTACTAAGTAGTTTACTTCTAATAGAAAACTTACTCCTAACTTTTCCTATAAAAAGATGTATTTTCACCATTCACAATATATAATAAAAAAGAGTTTCTTTTCTTCTCCACTATGTTGTTTACTCTTTATCAACATGGTATCAGCTAGGTGGCCGATCCTTCACCTAAATCTAGCCGATTTTTTTCTTTTTCTTTTTTACCCTAAATCTAGCCGTCGATCATGAATTCCACCACTTCTTCATCGGAGGTCACTTCGGAAATCCTCATTAATTCACCCCATTCTGATGTTTCTTCAGCCTCTATCACCTGTCACCGATTGAATGGTGACAATTATATCCCTCACTCTCAAACTACTACTCGGCCAAAGAAAGGGAGACCTTGGTGTGACTATTGTAAGAAAGTTGGCCATCTGCAGGATTCCTGTTGGAAATTACATGGCAAGCCTACTGATGGGAAGTTTTCAAAACAGCATCAACAACGTGATACTCAAGAAAACTGTGCTGTGAATACTGATTTACAAGGAAGTTCGTTTACTAAAAAACAAATGGAAGAGTTGCAGCAGTTTTTTAGTCAGTTAAACACTCATTCCCAATCAGTACCTGCAGGTAAAATTCCTTCTGCTACTTTAGCTAATACATCCACCACTCCTACTTGGGTTGTGGATTCTGGTGCAAGTGATCATATGACAAGTGATCTTCGGCTCTTTCACACTTTTCATGCCGACTCGTCTATCTCTAATATTCGAACAGCTGATGGTTCTCTATCCGGTGTTGCCGGTCATGGGTCTATTCGAATAAATCAGGACATTTTGTTATCTCATGTTCTTTATGTTCCCAATCTTACTTGTAATCTTATCTCCATTAGCAAGTTGTCTGCCGATTTATGCTGTATCACGAAATTTAACTTTGATTTTTGTGAATTTCAGGATTCTAGCTCGGGGAAAGTGATTGGCAGTTCTAGGCTTTGTGGGGGTCTTTACCTACTTCCAGCAACTTTATTTTCCCACCCATCTACTTCCTACCATGTTATACAACAATTTCCTTTACTTGAACCTTCAACCGATGTTATATTATTGCATTTTCGTTTAGGACATCCCAATTTCTTTTATCTTGCAAAATTGTTTCCACATTTGTTTGTCAATAAGAGTCCAAAATCTTTTTCTTGTGATATTTGTCCACTTGTTAAACAAACTAGGAGTGTTTATCTACCTTCTCCATATAAACCGTCCAAACCATTTACCATGATCCATAGTGATATTTGGGGACCATATCGGGTCGCATCTTTACATGGGTTTCATTGGTTTATTTCATTTATTGATGATCATACTAGTACTACCTGGACATTTCTCATGAAAACCAAATCTGAAGCTTGTGAAATATTTAAACGGTTCCATAAGATGGTTGGAACCCAATTTCAGTGTTCAATCCAAATGTTTCATTCTGACAATGGTAGTGAGTATTTTGCCAATGCTTTAGGTTCTTTCTTTCAGGAAACCGGGATTATTCATCTTACTTCGTGTGTCAATTCTCCTCAACAAAATGGGATTGCTGAGCGAAAAAACAGGCATCTTCTTGAGGTTACTCGGTCTCTACTTTTTTCCACAAATGTTCCTAACTATTTTTGGGGGAAACTGCCACTTATTTGATTAACCGTCTCCCTAGTAAAACCGTTACAATTTAAGTGTCCGAGAGATGTTTTTCTTCAATTTTTTCCCAATTTTAAACCGATGACTTCATTGTTACCCCTTAGAGTTTTTGGTTGTACTGTGTTCGTTCATAACAATGTTTCTTTCAGGTCCAAATTAGATCCTCGAGCATTTCGGTGTGTGTTTCTGGATTATTCATCGACTCAAAAGGGTTTTCGGTGTTATTATCCTCGTACAAAGAAATTCTTTATTATTATGGACGTTACTTTCTTTGAAAAAACACTTTTTTTTCCTTAAAACTGCTATTCAGGGGGAGTAATATAATGAATATCAGTTTATTGACTCACAACAATTGTCACTTGATTTGCAGCCAGCTCTTTTTGATCAACCAGCACCGTCAAACCAGTCAAATAAGCCTACAAAATCGCTACAGCCATACCAAACAACACTATCGAACCCAGAAAACGTATCCTTGTCAAACCAGTTCACCGAAACACATTTACCTCTGCATAATCAACATATCACTTCGCCTCAAATACCTCAATCCGAGTTGTAGATTTATAAGAGACGACAAAAACCAATTTCTAAATCAATCCCTGAACCTAATCTCGAGTCTCCCACACAGCATGGACACTGTCATGAACCGGAACCGAACGAGAATCCTTTGGAGAATGAAGAAGGTAATCAGAGTTCTTCCACTGAATTAAATGTTTTAATTGATGATAATGACTTGCCGATTGCTCAAAGGAAATGAGTAAGAAAATGAAGAAATTATCCAATTGAGAGATTTGTTGCATATGGAAAGCTAACGCCTTGTTTTAAGAACTTTACAGCAAGTGTAGATAGCATTACTGTTCCAGATACGGTGGAAGAAGCATTGAAAGATCCCAAGTGGAAAAAGGAAGTAGAAGAGGAATTAAAAGCACTGGAAAACAACAATACTTGGATTATAGTTGATCTTCCGAAAGATAAAAAACCAGTCGGCTGCAAATGGGTATTCACGGTAAAATACAAAGTTGATGGTAGCATTGAAAGATATAAGGCGAGATTTGTGGCGAAAGGATTCACTCAATCTTTTGGAGTTGATTATCATGAAACGTATGCTCCGGTAACAAAACTAAACACTGTGAGAGTGTTACTGTCATTAGCAGTTAATGAGAATTGGGTGCTTCATCAGTTAGACATCAAAAACGTATTTCTAAATGGAAACTTGGAGGAGGAAGTATATATACGAATTCCACCAGGTGTGAAGAGTAATACAGGAAAAGCATGTAGATTACTAAAGTCCTTGTATGGACTTAAGCAATCTCCAAGAGCCTGGTTTGACAGATTTACAAAGGTGATTATTCAAGATGGTTACAAGCAATGTCAATCAGATCACACTTTATTTGTCAAAACATCTTCAAACAACAAAAAGGCAATTTTGATTGTCTATGTGGATGATATCATTCTAACAGGTGATGATTGTATGGAGATAGAAATATTGAAAAAGCTACTGGCAAAGGAGTTCGAAACCAAAGACTTGGGAACTTTACGGTATTTTTTAGGCATGGAGGTTGCAAGGTCAAAAGAAGGAATATTGATAAACCAAAGGAAATATATCCTTGATCTACTATCAGAAACTGGAATGACGGGATGTAAGCCGGCTGAAACACCCATGGAAGCAAATCTGAAGCTAAGGAGAGAAGAATTGGGAAGTCCTGTGAACAAAGAATAGTATCAAAGGCTGGTAGGTAAACTAATTTATTTATCACTTACTAGACCTGATATTGCGTTCCCTGTCAGTATAGTGAGTCAATATATGAATGATCCAAGAGAAGAACATTTAGAGGCTGTGAATAGAATTCTAAGATACTTGAAAATGACACCAGGACATGGATTAATTTTTAGAAAGAGTGATGATAGAACAGTAAGAATTTTTTCGGATTCAAGCTGGGCAGGTGAATTAACGGATAGAAGATCTACAACTGGTTATTGTTCATTTGTTTGGGGAAATCTGGTTACTTGGAGAAGCAAAAAACAGGCGGTGGTGTCTCGAAGTAGTGCAGAAGAAGAATTTAAAGCAATGGCACTTGGAATTTGCGAAGGAATTTGGCTTCAATGAATGTTAACTGAGCTGGGGTTATATGCCAACAAATGGTTTGAACTTCAAAGTGACAGTAAATCTGCAATAAGTATTGCAAAGAATCCAGTTCATCATGACCGAACGAAGCATGTGGAGATTGACAGACATTTCATCTCTTAAAAGGTGAATGGTGGAACAGTGAAGCTCAATTATGATTCAACGAAGAATCAATTAGCAGATATTCTCACCAAAGCACTTCCAAGAATTACCTTTGATAAGATTATATCCAAGTTTGGTCTTTTCAACATTTACTCCCCAACTTGAGGGGGAGTGTAGGTTATGCAATAGATAAGTTAGTATTTTAATATAACACTAACTCTTAGAAAGATAGATAAGAATAACTACTAAGTAATTTACTTCTAATAGAAAACTTACTCCTAACTTTTCCTATAAAAAGATGTATTTTCACCATTCACAATATATAATAAAAAAGAGTTCATTTTCTTCTCCACTATGTTGTTTACTCTTTATCAACAATATTTGGTATCGCAAGTTGCACTTAAAACTTTTTGCTCAAACCTTTCCTTTAAGAGAGTCAAGACTTGTGTATACTACTAGCAAGTAGCTTGATCCACCGGTGAGGTGAAAATTTTAATTTTAACATAAGCACAGTCATAGTTTTAGAACATAGAGATGTTCTCAAGGTAACAAAATTTATCAATCAATAGAACAATGATCTTGTTGCGCTGTGCTTATAAAGTAACTGCATTTCTGAAATGAAGGGAAGAAAAAAGAAATTGAACGAACTTTTAGATTCTAAATAAAACTTCCTTAGATTCTATAGAACATAAGAGTGCAAATAAAGCACGAGTACGAGAGAAAGAACTGTGATCCGGACCCACAATCATGAAAAGTAAATGCAGGTTTCAATTGATTTAGGTAAAAAAGTGCCCCTAATACTGGGCAAGTTTGAAAGAGAGAAATCAATTAAAGGTAATACTAAAACATAAGTGTCAGTTCAACAATATTCAGAGAAAAATATCTTTTAATTTGATTAGCCCTCGTGGTCTATTGGTAGAGTGTTGGACATTCGAGTAAAAGGGTTCAATCCTGGCAGCATCAAGTGCCATTTTTTTCATAAAAAGAACCTTTATTCATCAATTACCTGACAATATCCAACAGATGGATTATGCCGAGCATATGCTAAAAGTAAACGCCTCAAGGAATCCCTTCCATGATCATTCAGAGCTGGATGACCAGGAAAAGTCCGCGGTATATCCTGAAAAATAATCAGACAAGTTAGCCTAGGGAGAAATGTGAGCAAACTTCATAAAGAAAAAGATGTAGAACCTAGGAATTGAAAAGATTGAACAATAAATTCCAAGTAGCATGCATCTAATGACCTTCTCAATCTGATTTCTCCATTTTGCAAACACACCGGATGAGTTACTAAGTTGATCAGCATCATGGTTTTCTTTAGCTAGCAATTCGTCGTAATATCTCTCCACTCGCCGAGCCTTAACGCCTACAAAAGCTTGCCATACCTGCAATGATATTATTATAAGACTGCATTTTTCAACAAATAAATATGAAGATGGTAACAAACAGATTAATTTCAACCTCACCTCCCCTCTTAGATCCTTTGGCACTCCTCCATGAACAAGGCTCTGCAGCTCCTCTTTCCAAGGGAAAAAGGATTCGTCATAATCCCCATTGTCTGTAATACTTCCTTCTCTAGCTGAGATCTCATGAACACATACCTTTCCCTCAAACTTATCCTGAGATTCTCCTTCTGAAAGTCTTCCCTCTTTTCTTGATGGAAGATGGCATCTTGTTCCATTCATATTCTTTCTCTTAACCTTTGAACTCATCAAATTCTCAATGGCACAAAGGGCTGGTCTGGTCTTAGCCCATCTGTGGACCTTACGTGTCTTCGTTTCTTCTATAAGCTGCACCTCCTTTTCTCTTGCATTCTCCATTGAATAAACAAAACTTCGCTTTCCTGTTTCACTTTTCGATGAACCAGCAGTATGAGGCTTTTTTCTTACACTTTCTATTGAACTAGCAGAATCATGCTTCACACTTGGAACATCTCCTTCCTTGCTCCTCTCTGAAGCACCATCTTCTTCTATCTTGATGGCTTCAGTCTCTGAAGTATCCTTACTTTTTTCTGGAGAATCAACCTCCTCTTTCACTTTAATTGCTTCACCTTGCAGCATCACCTTACATTCCTCCTCCAAAGCAGCATCTTTATTAAATTGTGTACCTTCAGTCTGCAATGTCACCTCGTGTTGCTTCTTAGAAGCAGTCTCTTCGTTTGCCTCAATAGAAGCCAATTCATTTGCCTCACAAGCTTCCGCAGTTAAGGTCTCTTTATTTTCTTCCTGAAGAAAGCCCCTATATTTCACCACAGGAGCTTCACCTTGCAAGGTTTTACTATCTTCCTCTTCGGAAGGGCATTGTTCAGTATGTTTTGCATGAAGTTCGAGGAAGATCCTCCATTTCTCTAATCTTTCCGCTTCCTCTTCCTGGAAAAATGAATTATTATATCAATAACCCAAAACTGACCATATATATTTGATTAAATGCAAGCAGCGTCTCATTAGAATACAACAATTAAACCTCGATGGAAATTTGTACCTTGTAGATATTAACGTACTCTCGATATGTTTGTATGTTTTGAGGTCTCACAGTGAATCCATAGGCGTCCCTAACCACATTATTATGCACATATCCTAAAGCAAATTAAACCAGGAGCACACATTCGACCAAAAAACAAAGAACAATTCGGAAAAGGAAACCACAACACTATCAACCTGACTAGAAGCAAGTTCAACCTCAGAGTCACTAGATGTTTAGATCTAAAACGAGATCATAAAGCTATCAATATTAAAATATACTAAAATGAGTATTAACAGGGGATGAAAAAAATGTTAAACTTGCCTGGAATCAGCATCCAAGAAGCGCCTGCTCAATAAGGACAATAACATACTTGACAAAAACCTGCAATTATATAGCTTCCCATAGCTTTCTTTTGTTTTACATTAAACTCATTCCACATTTCACAAAGAAAAAGTCTCTCCCACCCCTACTCTTTTGCTACTAAAGCTTTACAGTTCTCGAAAATCAACCAAAAGGAAACTGCATTAAAACCCATTCAAAGGGAATTTCATAAGATCTTGAAAGAAGATTGATTATACAGCGATACAAGTTACATTTCTTTGTTTAGAATTAGTTCTTTTGTTCAAATTCTGATGGCAGAAAACAGTAGAAATCTCAAACCAAGAAATTTTCAAAGTAAAAGAAAAAATGTAGGAATTAGAAAGCTGAATTACCTCTGTAATTCGAGATATTGGAGACATTTTCGGATTCATTAACAGCTATAAACTTTTCCCTTTTTCTATGATGATTAACAAAACTTTGAGTTTAATTCGTATGATCCGAAAGAAATGAGGATGGTCGTTGATTTCTGTTAACTTAATTTGCAATTTTTTTACCACATATGCTTAATTTGAAAACAAGGGTCTAAAATATACTTTTTTCTATGTAGGTGCCCAAACTTTTTTATTATTATTTATGTGCCTAACGTTACAAACATTACTACTTTAGGTTCCCCATCCGTAACGACCGTTAAAAAACCAAAACGTATCATATTTATATTTTTGTTGAAAATTTATTTTAAATAACATAAAATTAATATTTTTTTATAAAAACCTTCAAATTTGAAAATTTGAAAAATAACCCTAAATTCTTAAAATCTCTTATTTTAGTCCCTTTTGCTCCAACTACTGATCATCTCTGACCACCCATCCGTCAAAAACGGCCACGCATACATCATCGACCACCTACTGACCTGTCATAACCCTTTCTATGATCTCAAAACCCAAAATTCTGAAATCTCTACGCTTCAATCTCTAATCCCTAAAATCTCAAACACTTAATTCCTTAAATCCCTTTGATCAATCGTGGTAATCAATTGTTTAGCCGGCCGTTTGGCCATTTAGTCGGCCATTTGGCCTTTGACTGTTTGGTCATTGAAGAATGAAAAACAAGCAGGGGAAAGAGAGGGGAGACGCGGGTTGGGGAAGATTTTTTTAATAATATTTTTATATTTTAAAAATTAAAAATTTCAAAATTCTATAAATGTGACACATGTCACATAACTGAGTTTTTTTACGGTCGCTACGATCGAGGTACCTAAACTGATAACATTTGTAATGCTAGACACTTGAATGATTCAAAAAAATTTAGACACATATTTAAAGAAAAATTATATAATTTAGACACTTATTTTCTAATTAAGCCTTCTACAAATACCGTAACAAAAAAGATAAAGAAAATATTTATATATATTTAATAATTTTCACAATGTTTAATAATTAATATGTTTTTCATAATTTTTTATAGTTGATGATGTGACACCTTCGAAATTTCACGTCTCCATCCCATTTGTTTTGTGATTCAACAATTAAAATTAATCAATAAGAAAATTTTAATTGATTTAATTAACTAGAAGAATTCAATTAAATGTAAAATGTTATTAGTTGTTGTGAACAAATTAATTCTGTTTCTTGTTATCCATTCATCTTTTAATTTGAGCGGAGAATTATGATCGGTGGAGGTTGACTGTTAGTTGGTGATCTTCTGTTGTAGAATGGTCAAGATAATGTGAGGAATAAGATGATTTGTCTAAATAAGAGCATGGAGAGAAGAAGTCCTCTCCGGTGGGGCTAAGAGGTATAAATATTTAGGGTAAATTACACGCTTACTTGTTAAAGTTTATTCTCTCTCTTATTTTACTCACCGTACTTTTAATTTTTTTAATTTGCTCACCAAACTTTAGACATTGAACTTTTTTGGTCACTCGACCGTTTACTCAATAACGGGGTGCTCACGTTGCTTATTTTAATAAAAAATGCCACATAGGACTTATAATTAAAAAGATAAATCACATGTTTACTCACTGAACTTTACTCTCTCTCCTATTTTACTCACCATACTTTTATTTTTTTCAATTAAAATAGCAATGTCATAACGCCGTTAGAAATTTAACGCTTGAGTGACCAAAAAAGTTCCATGTCTAAAGTTCAGGGAGCAAATTGAAAAAAAAAATTGAAAGTACATAAAGTGAAATAGGAGCGAGTAAAATTCAGTAAGTAAGTGTGTAATTTACCCAAATATTTATAATGATCTTAATGGATATTGTTAAGGATAGAGTAATGATGACCATTCGTAGGCTAATGGGTTAGAAAAATCTGATCGTTAGATATTGGATTTTGCCCTGCTAAGACCTGTCAGATATCTTGTCCATACTTTGTGACTGATTCAAAGACTCGTGACTAGAAGATATAAATTCCTTGAAACTCTAGTGAACGAAATTATCTATTCAGAGGTGTCTAAAAGGATAGAGAGAGTTGTTGGGAAAAATGTGATAAATTGAAAACTTTGGAGCATTTTTCTAAGTGTAAAGATGAAGAATCGAATAATGAATTTACTGATTCATATTCTACTAAGTGAGATCTTTACAACGGTATCGCATCTGCTCAAAACAATTGAGTGATGAATGAGAAATTGATGCTCAAAGTAGGGTGCATGTGAATTATGTTGTGTAAGGAAAATAGGAAAACCCCATATCCCACATTGATGGGATATCAAGCAAAGGAAATGGTTTATATACACAAACCATTTTTTTAATTATTGAATGATTTGAGTTTATATTGTGCCTTGCATGTAATCGTAGGGGTGCAAATCCAAGTTTGTTGAATCCATTGGAATTGGGGATTTGCAAATATTTTACCCATTGTGAATTAAATATTTTCCTTAAGTAAAACTTATCTTTTTTGATATTCTGAATTAAAAAAGGATATTATTTGATTTCCTTTTAATTCAAATATTAAATATGGTATAACTTGTAATTCATGAATACGTTCGATATGATACGTGTCGGAACCGTCTTTCAGGTGGGTCCAGAATTGGGCTTCGACTTAGGGAAATGGATTTGGAGTCGCCACCGATCTTTTATTTTAAAACAAATAGGTAAATCATATACCTTAATTCTTATCTGGTCTGCATCTTACCAGAAATGTGTCGGGCTCGGGAGTCGGTTACGGTCAAGGAAGGATTAGCACCCTTGAACCGCCCTTTTGGTACTACGTAATTTTCAATTGTCTTAAATTAAGAAAATTGTAACTTTAAATTAAAAGGTAAAAAATACGATCTCAATTACTTACCTTAGATAGTTTACGGAAATACCCTTAAAAAATTAAAATAAGATGTTAAGAGAAAATAATAATAATAAAAGGAAGTAACAAAACTAAAGAGTAAACCAAAGAAATAAATGAAACGAATAAGAATAAACAGAAAATAAATGGATGAAACAAACATGAAAAAAAATGAAATTGAATAAAATAAAATAAATGAAGATAAAATATATACAAGAATAATAAAAAAGGTAAAGTGTTTTAAAAAAGGAAAATAATAATAAGAGAAAAGAAACTAAAAACACAATGAAAATAAATAAATAATATAAATAAAATAATAAAATAAAATATATACAAATATAAAAATGTATGTATAATAGAATAAAATACTAAAAGGTAATAATAATAATAAATAAATAAATAATGGAAAAATCAATAATAATAAGAATAGAATATATATGTAATATACCATAATACTAATAAAATAAATAATAAATATAGTATATTAAATAATAAAATAAATGAATAGATGAATAAATAAAATTAAAATAACAACACACGCATTGACTTTAATAGGGGACTAAATTGAATATGAAAACAAATCAAGTAGCCAAATCAAAAGGAAATTGGAGTATAAATTCAATTTTGGGACCGAAATGGAAGTTTTTAAAGAAAAGGGGACCAAAAAACACAGTTAACCCTTCTTTAAAGCAAAACGCGCGGGTCTTATGCCCCATGGGTCGGGTCGGCGGGCTGGATCGGGCTTGGTATAAAACTAAAAAAAATTATAATTTCTCATTTCTTTTCTCAAACCAATGAGAGCCCTCCCCCTTTCTCTAGTTTCTCTCCTCTGTTCTTCATGAATGAAGAACAAGGGTCGCGTTTTCCAGAACAATGGTGACCACCGTCTCGCCGACCACCGTAGATCGGTGCCAGCCATCGCTCATCGGCGGTGGTCCACCACAAAACCCATATTTTTAAAGAGCCTTTTCTTTCCACAATCCGAAAAGCAAAGTGGTTTTTCAAAAATCCTCTCAGAAAAGCGTAGATCTAGGACATAGATTTAGAAAATAATGGCCTCACTTCGTTCATTGGTCGAAAAATGTTTTTTGGGATTCAAAAACTCAACAACAACGACATGCAAGCAACCATCAAAATGAAACAAAGGTAACAAAATTTCTACCTTTTTATTTTTCTTATTCCGAATGACTTTACAACGCTTTTTGTGCTTTATGTGATTTTTGTGCCTATTTTGTGCGTAATATTCTCTGGTAATCGTGTGTGTTCATTGTATGTTGATTACAACTTATTTATAGCCTACATGAGTCCTATTTTTAAGAGTTTTACTCCGAATGAAACTCTAACTGAGTTGTTGGTTTGTTGTGGGTGTTGGCGTTGTCGTGAATCTCGGGCAGCTGTGTGGTTATGGGAGAGGAGTGCGATGCTTGGAGAGTCTTCAAGTGACCCCAAAAATAGCACTGGAATATTAGAAACCCTAATCTACCTTAAGGTTTCTTATTGGGTTAGACAGAAGTGGGCTAATAGGGTTTATAAATATTTGATGGGCATGTAAATGTAACAAATATGTATGTAAATATATATGCACCATATGTAATAAAAAATAAAAAATATATTATATAATATAAATTATAATGTAAATATATTATATAATATTAAAGGATAAATTTTGGTGTCTTCAGCTGCCCCTCTTTGCTCATTATCGTGTAACGAAAATGGAGCAAAGATTACAAGACACAAATTTTGTCTATATCGAACATCCTCTGTCGTAGAGTTAAAATCCGATATTGAGATTGATTTGTCAAAGTGACTCCCTCGCCGCGAGGTCGAGTTGAACTGGAAACTTCTCAGCATGATATCCTTCATCGTGAAGTTGAAATCGAACTCAAAAATCCTTGGCAAGTAGCCTCTGAACCGTTAAGCTGAAGCTTGACCCGAAGGCTTTGGTGTTACTATACTACAGATGACTCATTCGTCGTGAAGTTGGGTCAATCTGTTGAGGTACCATACCCTTTATTGTGAATTTAGAATTGTATATGGCCCATTCGTCGTGAAGTTGAGTCGGGGAA